CATCCCCCCCCGGTGTCCCCACGGTGGGTCCCTGACCCTGTGTGTCCCCACCACCACGCAGCGTGTTCCCGCGGGAGCTGAAGGAGGTGTTCGCCTCGTGGCGGCTGCGCTGCGCCGAGCGGGGCCGCGAGGACATCGCCGATCGCTTGATCAGCGCCTCGCTCTTCCTGCGGTTCCTCTGCCCCGCCGTGATGTCCCCCAGCCTCTTCGGCCTCATGCAGGAGTACCCCGACGAGCAGACCGCCCGCACCCTCACCCTCATCGCCAAGGTCATCCAGAACCTGGCCAACTTCACCAAGTGAGCGCCCGGCGAGGAGGAGGAAGGGGGTGGTGGATGATGGTGGTGGGATGGAGGGATGGGGAGGGACATGGGTGGGTGGGGAGGAAGATGGAGGTGGAGCTGTAGGGCTGTGGGTGGATGGAATCATGGGTGGATGGAGAGTAGATGGGTGAGTGAGCTGATGGACAGGAGATGGGGAGATGGACAGAGGGTGGATGAGTTGATGGACAGGAGATGGGGAGATGGACAGATGGTGGATGGATGAGATGATGGACAGAGGGTGGGTGGATGAGATGATGGACAGAAGGTGGCCAGATGTACAGAAGGTGGATGGATGAGTTGATGGACAGAAGATGGACAGATAGACAGAGGGTGGATGGATAGGTTGATGTACAGGAGATGGGGAGATGGACAGAAGGTGGATGGGTGAGTTGATGTACAGGAGATGGGGAGATGGACCTCAGAGGATGGATGGATGAGGTGATGGACAGAAGATGGAGAGATAAAAGATGGATGGATGAGTTGATGGACAGAGGGTGGGTGGATGAAATGATGGACAGAAGGTGGACAGATGGACAGAAGGTGGATGGGTGAGTTGATGGACAGAAGGTGGACAGATGGACAGAAGGTGGATGGGTGAGTTGATGGACAGGAGATGGGGAGATGGACCTCAGAGGATGGATGGATGAGGTGATGGACAGAGGGGGGATGGATGAGTTGATGGACAGAAGGTGGACAGATGGACAGAAGGTGGATGGGTGAGTTGATGGACAGGAGATGGGGAGATGGACCTCAGAGGATGGATGGATGAGGTGATGGACAGAGGGGGGATGGATGAGTTGATGGACAGAAGGTGGACAGATGGACAGAAGGTGGATGGGTGAGTTGATGGACAGGAGATGGGGAGATGGACAGAGGATGTATGGATGAGGGGTGGATGGATGAGTTGATGGACAGAGGGTGGATGGATGAGTTGATGGAGAGAGGGTGGATGGATGAGTTGATGGACAGAAGGTGGACAGATGGACAGAAGGTGGATGGATGAGTGGATGGACAGAAGATGGAGAGATGAGTTGATGGATGAGTTGATGGCCAATCAGTGGAAGATGAGGGAGTTGGTGGGTAGGTGAGGTGGTGGATGGAGGGAAGATGGATGAAGAGAAGGTGGCCTGATGGGTGGAAAGGGGGATGAGTTGATGGGTGTGAGATGGACAGATGTGTTGGGTGGATGAGTTTGGTGAGAAGGATGGATGATTGGGTGGAAAATGGATGGATGGATGGATGGATGGATGGATGGAGAAATGGATGGATGAATTGGATGGATAGGTGGATCAAGGGATGGAGAAATGGATGGATGGATGATGGATGGATGGATGGTGGATCTATGGTGGTTGGATGGATGGATGGATGATGGGTCTATGATGGATGGATGGTGGATCTATGATGGTTGGACAGAAGATGAGCTGGTAGACGGATGGATGGAGGACATTAGAGCTGAAGGCCAGATCTGGCTTTACAAATTGATGCCTGGAAGCCAAAGGGACAGCAGGGACAGAGGGTGGCCTGTGGAGGGGACAACGACCATGTGGGGGCCAGCACAGACCCCTCTGGTGCACCCCCTCCAGGTTTGGCAGCAAGGAGGAGTACATGGCCTTCATGAACGAGTTCCTGGAGCTGGAGTGGACCAGCATGCAGCAGTTCCTCTACGAGATCTCCAACCTGGACACCCTCACCAATAGCACCAGCTTCGAGGGCTACATCGACCTGGGCCGCGAGCTCTCCACCCTGCACGCCCTCCTCTGGGAGGTCATGTCCCAGCTCAGCAAGGTGGGACCCCCGTGCTCACCTGGGTCCCTCGTGGTCACCTGGGTCCTCTCCTGGGTGGTGGTCAGGGCTCTGGATGCCTATGTTCTCCTCAGGGGAGGTTTTGGGATCCCATACACCCATGTCCCACCATGAGAGGCCACTGAAGTCCCAGCTCTTCATATCCCACCATGGGAGATCATTGGGGTCCCATCCACCTCTGCACCCCAAGGGGAGGTCATTGGGGTCCCATCCTCTCGTGTCCCACCATGGGAGGTCCTTGAGGTCCCATCCATCCATAACCCACTGTGGGAGGTCATTGGGGTCCCAGCCACCCCTGCCCCTCAATAGAAGGTCATTGGGATCCCATCCAATCATGTCCCACCATGGGAGGTCCTTGAGGTCCCATCCACCCATGTCCCACCACGGGAGGTCCTTGAGGTCCCATCCATCCATAACCCACCATGGGAGATCATCGGGGTCCCAGCCACCTCTGCTCCCCAACGGGAGGTCATTGGGGTCCCATCCCCTCGTGTCCCTCCATGGCAGGTCCTTGAGGTCCCAGCCACTCATGTCCCACCGTGGGAGGTCATTGGGGTCCCATCCCCTCATGTCCCACCATGAGTGGGAGGTCATTGGGGTCCCATCTGCTCGTGACCCACCATGGGAGGTCATTGAGGTCCCATCCATCCATATTGGGAGGTCATTGGGGTCCCATCTGCTCGTGACCCACCATGGGAGGTCATTGAGGTCCCATCCATCCATATCCCACCATGGGAGATCATCGGGGTCCCAGCCACCTCTGCTCCCCAACGGGAGGTCATTGGGGTCCCATCCCCTCGTGTCCCTCCATGGCAGGGCCTTGAGGTCCCCGCCCAGAGGTCCTTGAGGTCCCATCCACCCATGTCCCACCACAGGAGGTGATGAAGGGTCCCAGTCCCACCATGGGAGGTCACTGGAGGTCCCATCCCCTTGTGTCCCACCATGGGAAGTCCTTGAGTTCCCATCCACCCCCAGGGGAGGTTTCTGGGGTGCTGGGGTGGTCGTTGGGGACACGTGGCTGACCTGTCCCCCCCAGGAGGCCCTGCTGAAGCTGGGCCCGCTGCCCCGGCTGCTGACGGACATCAGCGTGGTCGGCGGGCCCCGCCCCACCCCCCACCGGCAGCGGCAGCCGAGCCAGGGGGAGCGGCTGCCCCCCAAGGGCTTGGTGCTGCGGGGGCCCTCGGCCGACCTCCAGCCCTACCTCGTCCGCGACCTCAACAGGTGGGGACCCCCGAGAACCTCCCCCGCAGCCCCCTGCATCCTCATGGTACCTCCACATCCCCATGGTACCTCCACATACTCATGGTTTCTCCATCCCCATGGTATCTCCATCCCCATGGTACCTCCACATCCCCATGGTTTCTCTATCCCCATGGTACCTCCATTCCCATGGTACCTCCACATCCCCGTGGTACCTCCACATCCCCATGGTACCTCCACATCCCCATGGTATCTCCATTCCCATGGTACCTCCACATCCTCATGGTTTCTCCATCCCCATGGTACCTCCATTCCCATGGTACCTCCACATCCTCACGGTTTCTCCATCCCCATGGTTTCTCCATCCCCATGGTACCTCCATTCCCATGGTACCTCCACATCCTCATGGTTTCTCCATCCCCATGGTATCTCCATCCCCATGGCATCTCCATCCCCATGGTATCTCCAGCCCCATGGTACCTCCACGTCCCCATGGTATCCCTTCATTCCACCCCACTCTGTGTCCCCCCATGTCACCATGGTCACCCTGGTGGTTCCCTAATGTCACCTGGGGTGTCTGCCCCCACCACGGGTTCCCGTGGTCACCCGCTCTCTTTCCTCACAGCTCCGTTGACCTCCAGTCCTACATGGTGCGGGGCCTCAATAGGTGGGTGATGGGGACAGGGGTGTGGACAGGGATGGGATGGGGACAGTTATGGGATGGGATGAGATTGGATGGGGTTTGATGAGATAGAGATGGGATGGGATGGGATGGGGTCAATGATGGGATGGGATGGGGATAGGATGAGGTCAATGATGGGATGGGGATGGATAGGGTGGGATGGGATGTAATGGAATGGGAATGGTGTCAATGATGGGATGGGAGGCAATAGGATGGATAGGTCAGGATGGGATGGGGTCAATGAGGGGATGGGATGGGGTCAATGATGTGATGGAATTGGATGGAGATGGAGATGGGATGGGGTCAATGATGGGATGGGACGGGATGGGATGGATGGGATGAGGACAATGATGGGATGGGACGGGGAAGGGATGGAGCTGGGATGGAGATAGGATGAGTTGAGATGGGATAAAATGGGATGGGATGGGAGGGGAGGGGAGGGAATGAGGTCAAAGATGGGATGGGAGGAGGATGGAGATGGTTGGGAGGGAATGGGATAGGATGGAGATGGGATGGGAGGGGAAGGGAGGGGAGGGGATGGGATGGAGATGAGGATGGAGATGGAGATGGATGGGATGGGAAGGGATGGGGATGGGATTGGGATGGAGATGGGATGGGATGGGATGGGAGAGGATGGGAGGGGATGTGATCAATGATGGGATGGGATGAGGATGGAGATGGAATGGGATGGAGATAGATGGGAGGGGATGAGATGGGATGCGATGGGATGGAGACGGGGGCGATGCCATCATGGGGACCTCTCTCCACCCT